TTTAAATATTTAATTTTAATTATAAGAATTAATATTTAAAAAATATTAGTCATAAAACATAGTCAGGATAAAGTTTTGTTAACTGATATAGTGTAAAGATTTAATAAATAAAGACATAAGACAATACTTCCACATATATGAATTTGGATAAATAAAAAAAATCAGGTTTTAGAAAGTAGATTTATAACACTAAATCAGTTACACAAATATAGTTAATCAAAAAATTAGTTTAACATTGGTTACGGATTAAACTATAAAATTGGATTTTTTTGCCTAATCATACAAAAAACTATATTTTTCACTTGGTCTAACGAATCATGAAATAATTATCTACCTATCTCACCTTCATCTAAAAAAAAAGAAAAGAAAAAGAAATATAACCTATTTTCATCTAAGATAAAGCAAACCATGTCACCGAAATTATGTTCCACATTTTATCTAATTAATACATTTATACATTCACTATTGTAACACCTTAATTAAATTTTTAAATAAATAAATTTCATAAAATCGGGAACAATAAAAATTTTCATTCAAACGGTTTTCAATCTTTTCACTAAGTTCGGTGCTGATCATCTTGGTCACCTGAAAAATAAATATAAGGGTAAGTACTCTACACTATCACACACAAGCACAGAGATCCGCCTTGCACTTCACACGTTTACTACAGAATTCAAATCATTTATCAATAAGCACTAGTAATCATTTTATCATTCTATTCTCATTCACATACCGGTGCGCTCACTACACCGTCAAACAATTCACATTAAACACTCACGTGCGCTCACTGCATGTTAGCCATGCTCACTGTGACACTGTGATCATATTCCTAATGCCTTTAACCTTATGGACTTACTCAGTTCACATCATGGATAATTACCGGATAGCTCTCGCTCCACGGATACAATGTGTGCAGTATTGAGCCCCCAAGCAAAGGTGTTAGTCAGAGACCGAGTGAGGAGGAGAGTGTGTGGCCTGTGGTGTGCCCACGCTTACTATTGGTGTCACCACCACCCTCTCTTCTCTAAGGTATTTCTACCGCCCCATCTTCTACACCCCTAATGTATCGCTGAACCATTCATAATTTTTCAACATTCCAAACATAATCACAATCACACCCAACATGCCATTCACACATATTTCCAACCATTCACATTATTCAACATCAATCAGTGGCATGTCTAAGCATTTTAACCACATACTCAATCACATCTTGATATTCAATTTCACACATGGCACGTATGCCTACATTCAATCACATTACACTGAAACATCAAATCCTCATCAAAACTTAACCATAATCAAATTACTACATCACACATATTATGCTCAATCAAGAATCTTCTATCAAAACATGCCTATCCTTACATTCTATCTCAACAACATTTCAATCTATAACAAATAACCGATTTCAGAACAAAATGAGATAGTGTAGAGTCCCTTTTACCTCTAAATGAAGACCCAACATGAACCTCAGCAATGAAAATTCTCCCCACATGAATTTCGTCCTAAATACATGAAAAACTCTATGAGAAACCGAGAAATCAAGAAGAGGAACAAAAAATCAAAACCCTCACTCTTAAAACTTACATCCAAGCGCCCCAAGCACGATTCCAACATTCAATCTTACACCCGAACGACTTTGGAGGTAGTTTAAATGGTGAAATAGGGTTAATTGTAGAGAGAATCAAAGAGAGTTTGAAGAGAGGAATGGAAAATGAATTTTTCAAACCCTAAACCCCTCAAATACCCCTTTGGTCGAGATGTTCTCGCTATAGTGACACCCCTCTTACTACAGCGAAAATATCAGAAGAAACTGCACTCTGGTTTCTGTAGAATCTCGCTACAGCGAGACCCTCTCGCTATAGCGAGATTGCATCCAGAAATGTACTCTCTTCTGTTGCCCTTTCGTTACAGCGAGAGCGCAATAGAATCATGTTTCTCGCCCCAGGGCCTTCTTGCTACAGTAAGAATCCTCTCACTACAATAAGAATGTTCCTGTAATACACTCCAACCTATACTTTCCAAATAGTCTAGCTCAATCACAGATCAAACATTCTCAATGAAGAATCAACATCCACACTCATGGTCATATTCATCCACGTCATCATACATGTATACACTTACATTCACATCATCATATATATCAAATACACATTCAAATAGCAACCCACACATTTATATTAATAATCAAAACAATATTACAAAATTTGGGGTGTTACAACTCTCCCCTCTTTTAGAGAATTTTGTCTCTGAAATTCAACCAACTTACACAAACAACTCCGGATATAATTCTCTCATTCTACTCTCCGTTTCTCATGTGACATCTCCCTTATCACTTGAGCTCCAAATTACCTTCATCAATGAGATTTCCTTACTCTTTAATTGCTTAACATAGTGGTTTGCAATCCTTACCGGGTACACATCATAAAACAAGTCCTCTCTTACTTGAAATAGATCAAGGTCGATCACGTGAGAAGGATCCAACACATACTTCCTAAATTGTGATACATGGAACATCAGATGTAGGTTTGAGAGATCCAAAGATAGTGCTATTCGATACACTGCAGGACTAATTCGACTCAGCATTTCGAATGACCCAATAAATTAGGAGATAGCTTCCAAGATTTCAGAGCTCTCCCAACTCCGGTCATAGGTGAAACCTTCAAAAACATGTGATCACCCACTTGGAACTCCAAAGGTTTCCTTCTCTTATCATAGTAGCTCTTCTGCCGATCTTGTGCAACTTTTATCTTTTCTCTAATCATCTTGATTTGCTTATTTTGTTTCTGAACCATGTCTGGTGCACACAGAGTCACCTCTCCAGTCTTATACAAAGCCTCAAACGATGCCATTCCAATGCTGATGTAATAACTAACTATTATTGTATGTGAACTCTACCAATGACAAACATTCTTCCCAAGTTCCCTATTGCTCGATCACATAAGCCTTCAACAAATCTTTCAGGGACTGGATGGTCCTCTTCGTCTGACCATCCATCTGTGAATAATAAGCCGAACTAAGCTTCAACTTAGTGTCCAACGCCCTTTGCAGGCTCTCCCAAAACTTCATAGTGAACCTCGGATCTCTGTTAGACACCACATTAGTCGGAACTCCATGTAACCTAACTATTTCCCTCACATATAAGTCTACAAATCGCTCTAATTTGTATTTCATGCTAATCGGGAGAAAGTGTGCAGTCATGGTCAATCGATCCACTATCACCCAAATGGCATCATAGTTGCTCTTGGTCCTTCGCAAACCATAAACAAAGTCCATGGAAATGTTGTCCCACTTCCACGCGGGGATTTCCAGAGGTTGCAATAACCCAGGTGGACGTTGATACTCTACCTTTGCCTTTTGACAGGTTAGGCATCTAGCCACATATTTTGTAACATCCCTCTTCATCCCATTCCACCAAAAACTCTTTCAGAGGTTCTAATACATTTTGGTCACGTCGGGATGAAAACTTATTTTGCTCTTATACACCTCCTTAAGTACCATTTGTTTCAACTCATCCATTTGGAGAATGCATACACGGTTCTGGAACTGGATCACCCCATTCTCATCATAGTGGAACTCTAAGTCCTTCCCCTCACTCTTCTGCCTCATCATACCTTGTAGGAAAACATCTTCTTGCTGAGTTTCTCCGATGTATACCAAGAAATCGTTGTGGACCGTCGTTGCTCTGAGATACAAACTCCTTGGCCTTACCTCCATAGCCAAGCTCATGTCTCAAAACTCTTCAATCAACTCCATCTCTTTCACCATCATTGCTGCCACGTGCAATGATTTTCGGCTCAAAGCATCGACCACCACATTTGCCTTGCCAGGATGGTAAGATAATATGAAGTTGTAGTCCTTGAGGAATTCCATTTATCTCCTGTGCCGCATGTTTACCTCCTTCTGGTCAAACAATTACTTCATGTTCTTGTGATCAATGACCACTTCAAACCTCGCCCCATAGAGATAGTGTCTTCACACCTTGAGTGCGAAAACTACTGCGGCTAACTCCAAGTCATGCATCGGGTAGTTGACTTCATACGGACGCAATTGCCTCAAGACATAGGCAACCACTCGCACATCTTGCATCAAAACGCACCCAAGTCCATGCTCAGACGCATCACAGTACACATCAAACTTCTGCTCCGGGTCAAGTAGAACTAACATAGGTGCTGAAGTCAACTTCACCTTCAGTTCTAGGAAACTAGCTTCACATGCTCTGCTCCATTTAAACTCCTTACCCTTACGGGTCAGCTTCGTCAAAGGTAAAACTATTTTAGAAAATCCCTCAATGAACTTCTTATAATAGCCTGCTAGTCTTATAAAACTGCGGATCTCTGTCATATTCGTCGGTCTTGGCTATCGGGCCACCGCTTCCACCTTTGCAGGATCTACCATCCTTAGATACCACATGCTCCAAAAATTGAATTTGGGATAGCCAAAACTCGCACTTGGAAAATTTGGCGTACAGCTGCCTCTCCCTCAAAATTTCTGAAACTATAAGTGTTCGACATGCTCCTCTTGAGTCTTTGAATAAACTAGGATGTCATCAATGAGGACCATTACAAACTTATCCAAAAACTCGTGGAAGATTCTGTTCATGTAGTCCATGAACACCGCATGCGCATTGGTCACTCCAAAAAGCATCACCAAACACTCATAGTGACCGTAATGCGTCCTGAATGTTGTCTTAGGTACATCCTCATCCTTCACCCTAATCTGGTGATACCTCGATCTCAGGTCATTCTTCGAGAACACTGCAGCTCCCCTCAATTGGTTCATCAAATCATTAATCCTTAGAAGGGGGTACTTGTTCTTTATCGTCACCTTATTTAGTTGTCAGTAATCCATGTACATCTCATACTTTTATCTTTCTTCTTCACCAAGAGCACTAACGCTCCCCATGGTGATACATTCGGTTTTACAAACCATTTCTACAATAATTCCTCCACTTGCTTCTTGACCTCTGCCAACTCCAACTCTACTGGTGACATCCTTTATGGTGCCACAGAAATCGAACTTGCTCCCGGGATGAGGTTAATGACAAACTCTATCTCCTTCTCAGGTGGCAATTTTGAAACTTCTTCAGGGAAGACTTCTAAGAAGTCTCTCACTACCGGGATGTACTCTGGCTCCACTATACTTTCTGCTTCCATTGAGAACATGACCATAAAGGCCTTAGCGTTCATCGTGTTCTCCCACGCGCCTTGACTCAACAGTCTAAGAATTTCCAAAGTCAATGTACCAAAAATCAATGTATTTTTTCTGCAATCCAGCAGCACATGGTTGGCAACTAGCCAATATATTCTCATTAGTACATCCAACTGGAAAAAAGGCGAACAGATCAAGTTGACCTCAAAGTTTCTCCTATACATCATTATTGAATATCCTAGACACACCCACAAAGTTACAACCGGTTTACCCGTAGGGGTAGTCACCACAACATTGCACGACAATTCCTTCACATATAAGCCCAAACACTTCGCACAATCCATGGAAATAAATGAGTGCGTAGCACCCGAGTCAAACAACACATCCAATAATCTGTCCTTAATGATACATTTACCTCGAATAAGCTCTTTAGATTGTGAAGCCTCTGCCCCACTTATGCCAAAGACTTTCCCAGGAATACTTGGCTTTGGCCCCTACTCGATTCCGTGCTTCCTCTCGGTCCAGGCCTTTGAGTTGTACTCATACTGCCACTCTTCTTAGTAGCCCAGCACACATTAGCAGTGTACCCCAACTTCCCGCAGTTGCCATAATTAGTCTGTGGCTGTGGGCAGTCCCTCAACATGTGTGGCCCTCCATATCTAAAGCATTTGATCGATCCTCTAAAAGAGCCTGATCCTGAGTCACTCCCACTGCTCCTTTCTTAAGATGAAGTCCCTCTAGACTGAGAATGACTGGAGGTTGAATACGGCCCTTTAGAGAACCTACGGAGTCTTCTATCCTACCTCATGGGTCCACTCCCCCTAGTGTCCACGGTCTTGCCCTTTAAGTTGGCTTCAAAGATTCTATACTTGCTCACCAAAGTGGGCAAGTCAATCAGGTGAAACACACTGACTGCAGCACGGATCTCTAGCTTCAACCTATGCTCAAACTGAGCACACAAGTCTTCCTCTCCATCCTCATGCTGGTAGTGAGGCCAGTATTTCATCAACTCTTAGAACTTTGCCGTATATTTCCCCACAGTCATACTCCCTTGCTTCAGTTCAAGAAAATCCTGAGCCTTCTACTTCTTCAAGTCCCGAAGAAAGTAATTCTCTAGGAAGCTTGCCTTGAATGCCTCCCATTGAATATAGCCACCCTCTTATGGCAAAGTTTGACTGGCAAACCTCCACCAGTCTTTCGCCTCCCCACATAGCATGTAGGTGGCATAGTTCACCTTGTGCTCTTCCTTACACCCCATGGCATAGAAGATCTTCTCCACGTCTGCTACCCACCTCTGGGCTCCTTCAGGGTCAAACTTGCCCTCAAATTTCGGAGGGTTATGCCTAGTAAAGGCAGATAGCCCTTTATACTAAGCAAGCTCTACATCTTGGTTATGCACCAAAGTCTCTAGAACTTAGGTCATATGCTCTAGGAGGTCATTAGTGATTCCAGCTCCTCTACCTCTACCGGCCATTTCTAATCTAAGCTAGCAAACAATTCAACAAATCATACTTTAACTCATCAAATCAATAACAACATTTATAACTTAGACAAACAAAACATAGCAGCACACAACTTGGATGCTTCAGCCCGATACCCTAGTCCGGTTTGGATGAACTGAACTGATACCAAAATTGTAACACCTTAATTAAATATTCAAATAAATAAATTTCATAAAATCGAGAACAATAAAAATTGTCATTCAAACGGTTCCCAACATATGTTTTCAACAAAGTATTTCAAAATAAGGATGAATTACAAGTTTGAATTAAATCATTGCTACAGGACCAATTTAAATACACTAGAGTTCTCAAGATAATTTTTAAGTCCTATGGCAGTTTCATCCATCCCTTCATTGAGTCTGGTGCTGATCGTTTTAGTCACCTGAAAATAAATGTAATAGTGAGTACTATACACTATCACATATAAGTACAGAGACTCACCTTGCATATTTCACACGTTTACTACAGAATTCAAATCATTCATCAACAAGCACAAGTAATCATTTCATCATTCCATTCTCATTCACACACTAGTGCGCTCATTCCACCATCATACAATTCACATTAAACACCCACATGTGCTCAATGCACGTTATCCACGCTCACTGTGGCACTGTGATAATAGATTCTTGATGCCCTCAACCTTATGGACTTACTCAGTTCACACCATGGATGATTGCCGGATAGCTCCCGCTCCACAGATACAATGTGTGTAGTATTGAGCCCCCAAGCAAAGATGTTAGTCAGAGACCGAGTCAGGAGGAGAGTGTGTAGCCCGTGGTGCGCCCACGCTCACTGTCGGTGTCACCACCACTCTCTCTTCTCCAAAGTATTTCTACTGCCCCCATTTTTCACACTCCTAGTGTATTGCTGAACCATTCATAGTTTTCTAACATTCTAAACATCATCACAATAACACTCAACATGCCATTCACACATATTTTCAACTATTCACATTATTCAACATCAATGGCATGTCTAAGCATTTCAACCACATACTTAATCATATATTGATATTCAATTTCACACATGACACGTATACCCACATTCAATCACATTACACTTAAACATCAAATCCTCATCAAAACTTCATTACAATCAAATTATTACATCACACACATTATGCTCAATCAAGAATCTTCTATCAAAACACGCTTATCCCTACATTCTATCTCAACCACATTGCAACCTATAGCAAATAAACGAATTCAAAACAAAATGAGATAGGATAGAGTCCCCCTTACCTCGAAATGAAGACCTAACACAAACCTCAATAATGGAAATGCTCCCCACACGGATTTCGTCCTAAACATGTGGAAAACTTCATGCGAAACTAAGAAATCAAGAAGAGGAATGAAAAACTGAAACCCTAACTCCTAAAACTTACCTCCAAGCACTCCAAGCACGATTCCAACCTTCAATGTTACACTCAAACGACTTGGAGGTAGTTTAAACAGTGAAATAGGGTTAATGGTAGAGAGAATCGAAGAGAGTTTGAAAAAAGGAATGAAAAATGAATTTTTCAAACCCTAAACCCTTCAAATACTCCTTTGGTCACGATGTTCTCGCTACAGCGAGACATACACCCCTTCTCGCTTCTGCGAAAATATAAGAAGAAACTGCACTCTAGTTTCTGCAGAATTTTGCTACAGCGAGATTGCATCTAGAAATGCACTCTCCTTTGTTCCTTCTCGCTGCAGCAAGAAGCCTCTCGCTTCAACAATAGTGCAATAGACTCATGCTTCTCGCGCAGGACTTTGTTGCTATAGCGAGAATTCTCTTGCTACAGCAAGAATGCTCCTATAGCACACTCCAACCTATACTCTCCAAATAGTCCAGCCCAATCACACATCAAACATTTTCAGTAAAGAATCAACATCCATGCTCGTGGTCATATACATCCACGTCATCATTCACGTTTACACTTACATTCACATTATCATATACATTAAATACACTTTCAAATAGCAACCCACACATTTATATTAATAATCAAAACAATATTACACAATTTGGGGTGTTACAACTATAACAAAAACAACTTTTAGCATCAATTGTTATAATTTTAAGTGACAATAAAAATAACCATTAAAAATTTTACTAGAAAAAAATATTTGTTGTGGTTAATAAAAGTTCTACTTACTATTATAAAGAATGTTGATAAAGACTTAATTTATTATTGATGAAAACCTGAATTTATAATGACAAATGTTAATGATAATTTAAATGATTTGATCAGGAAAAATTTTAATGACAATAATATTTATATTTAAAATTTTTAAATAACAACAACATACAATTCTTTTAAATAAACAATAGTAAATCATTTAAAAGAAATGACATATTTGGCTTCCTTAATAGTGCAATTTGGCAAATTAATAATTAAAGTTCACACATCATAATAAATAGTTTTGTATAAAAAGCAAATTTATTATAAAAGTACATCTCATATTTCAAAGTATGTTATAATATGATGTTTCTTTAAATATTGTTTGCATGTTAGTAAGTAAACAAAAGAAGAAGAAGAAGAATAAATGTTTTTCAATATGAAAGAACATCATAGTAGTGTTTGGCTTTACTTGTTTAAACTTCTTTTTTCAAAATTTACCTTTTCACAACGGTCATCCTATCAATTTTCTGTATGAAACAAATCTCATTAGTTATGATAACTTATTGCATATTTTATTCTCTTCTATTTCATTACATGTCATCCACTCAATTCTATTTAATTTCATGTAAAATAAGATATCCAAAGTTTAGGGTTTAACTTTACCATAATCATACAAAAATATATTACAATCAAAACTTGGAAAAGAATACTAAATTCTTCCATTTCTTTCTAAGTGATTTTTTAACAAACTCTTCACCAAGGAATCATAAACTTCTTCTACAAATAAATAATAAATAGTTACAAGCTCATGTCATGCATGATAGACATGAATTTAAGATTAAATTAACAATAATTAAAAGCAATTATTTCATACTCTTACAAATTTCACCAACTTCATCTTTATCAAAAACTCTCATTTATCTATATTTAGAGGTGTTAGTTTTGGATTTCTAGCTATACTACCAAAAAGCTAGAAAGTTTACGACTTTTCTTTGCTACAGCTTGAGTGTGATTATTGAATATCACATCAATTATTTTTCCTATAAATATATTCCATATATATGTTTTATAAGGTTGGACCTGAACTTTCCTAATATTTGAAGAAATTGACATAAAACCATTTGTTATAATTTAATTCAATCAAACATTAAAAAATATATATATAAAGCAATTGTTCATTACAATAATGTTACTTAATTCATTATTTTTCTCAATATTAGTGTTACTTGAATTATTCTATTCTCCAATTTGACTATTATAGTTTGAACATGAGAGCGGTTGTGGATGTTTATTAATTGCTCTATATATGGTTGCGCTTTTTCATCATGGCGTTGTTTTACAATAAACCTAATGTTACTTTTCTTAACTATTATGACAAATTTTCTTGATATATTCTTTAACATTAGTACAAAGAACATGAAATATTTAGATAAAATTGACAAATAAATATATACATTTTATACCTACTTCAACTGTCAACATTTCATATAGCTAATTATAAATAAAGAACTAGAAGAGAAAGTAAAGACAACTACATAAACATTATAAAAAGTGTGAAGACAATTGCGTGAACATAAAAAAAAAGTGTGAAAAATGATTAAATATAATTGTGTGGGTATAAGAGGATTCATATGCTAAGGAATTAAGTATGAATTTATTCAAGAAAGACGAAGGAATTGGATCTCCAAGAGGTAAACCAACCATAGTTTTGCTTTGATATATGCTTCAAACTCACAGATTCCAGCAAAAAGGAATAAATAGCAAATGGAAAATATAGAACACGAAAGTAGTGATATAGCGCCACTTCAAAGGATTGAAGATAAGTCAAGGATTGCATTCACCACATGGAAGAATTCATGATAAGAGTAGTGTTATGAATTTTTTAAAGAAAAGATTTAGAAAAAACTCAACTCATAAGGGAGGAGAAATATGCACAATGCATCAAATAAATTCTAAATTTGAAAATTACAAAGGAGCTTAGCCTATATATAGGTAAGCTAACTCAAAGCCCCCAAATGGTCTCTAATGGGCCGCAAAACAAAGAAAAAGAAAGGGAATGAGGATTGAGCTGAATATATGCCCTGAAACATGGCCTAATACAAGCCTAAACAAAATACAAGATACTCCACCTCAAAGCTCAATGGGCTTTTTGGGCCCATGGCCAAAATACAAGGTCCAAAACTATACTAAGTTTAGCCTCTTTATTTTGTAGCTATACAATTACAAGTAAGAGTATAAATGGGTCTTATGGCCTCTAGGATCACATCACTTTTGCTTAGGTGAGACAAGTTCGCCTGAGTGCAACCTATGAGTCCAAAGAGCTTCTATTTTTGTTGTGCCTTCTCATCTAAGCAAGGGACTCCTCACCTAGACGAGAGGACATTTTTGATGATT